GGGACAGTCAGGGGCCGTACATAAATTTACGACACATCCGACGGATGAGTCACTGGTCCGCTTCACCCACGGCCGCTCGTACTTCGGATAACCGCACCACACTATCACGTCGTCGATAGGCCCGCCTTGCTTGCCAAAAGTCAGGCATTTATTTTTTGACTGACAAATTTGGGCTTTTTACCCGAAGACGCCTCAGTTTGGCACCTTAAAAAGACGCAAGGAGGTCAAAAAAATTGCAGTCGCGCTAGTGGAGAGATGATGGTCCAAATCGTTCTGACGGAAAAATTAATTTGTCCATGGCGTGTGAAAGCAAAATTCCTCGTCCATATATTAATCATGAATTGCACCTTGAACTAGACGTGTTCGATATTTTCCCAGACCAACATGACAGTTCTCATCGTGGAATGGAAACGAATAAGCGACCGAAGCAAGGTACCTAACTGGTAGGTATAAATTTGTGACGGCGAGCCCCCACAGCAATACGCAAGCAGGGGGGCCCAAATAGAGTTCCCGGTAAATACGAGTCACGCGAACCCCCGCGAAAAGGGGGGGGGGGGAGGACGGGGTGGCTGACATGCGTTGTGATTACCGTCATCACCGCGATTACCGACCGCTTAGACACGCGAACGGGGAATCACACGCGCATGCGTGAGCGAGCCGCGGGCATCAGAAATCATTATCGTGATTATTGTCGACAGTGTACACGCAAGCCCTTGCGACGGCCCGGCAGCACATGGAAGGACCAAAAATAGAGAGGGGGGAAAAACAGGGAGGCGTCAGTGGCAGCGTCCTTGATCCTCCTGGCTTCACATCCTCCTTCACAAGCTCCGCTCAAAGAGCCGCATCAGTGCGCCATATCTGACACAATTTTTAGTCTCTTTCCTGCTGTTTTCCCCAAATATCTCGTTTTCTTTTGTGCTTTTCTTTTTTGCTGTACCCAACATGTAGCTTTTAGCGCAAGTGCGGAGGAGGGTGGGGCGGTGGCGTCAACGCCTTTGGAGCCGCCACCGTCGTATGCCCATTGAATCGCCAGACAGCGCGAGGGGCAAGGCGGAAAAGAGAGGTCGTGAGAGAGAGAGAAGGAAAGGGGGGAGGGGGGGGGGCGACCGACCTGCTTGTTCTGTTGTGGGGAGGGCGCCTCCAATATGAAAATCTTAGGGGAGTTGGGGGGAAAGGAAGAGGCCGGGTGAGGGGGAGGGGACAGGGAATATATATATAAAAAGCAGACGAGCTGCTTGTGGTCCGACGCAAAGACAGCGGCGTCGGCGAGGGCAGCAATGTAACAGGGCGTGTTGCATTCACCCCCCCCCCCCCCCGGTGTCCCTCTCCCATTTTCCTCTCTCCTCCTACCGCCACCATACACTCTGCCTCATTGCCGTGACATTTTGCCATGGCCTTTTCGTGGGGTAGTGTCTATTTCACCTCCAGGCAGTGCTGCAGGACAAATTTTGGGTTCGTTTAAATGCTGTGCTGGACTAATCATTTCACTAACTTTACTGCATGTCCGCTTTCTTCTTCTTACTTTCGGAAATAAGGTGGGGGATAATATAAGAGACATAACAAAGAAGGCCTCCCTTTTCTCTGCCAAAGATTTATCACTTGAATGTTTTTTCTTTAAAAAAGTAACGTTCATGTCTTAAAAATAATGTAGGGCTGCGAGGAACTTTCTTTAAAAAAAAAGGTCCAGACGCACGATTAACGTTTGTTTCCCAAGGAGAAACAATTTGAAGTGACCGACGTAAGCTAAAGTAAAAGGATGCTGTGCGTAACTCATCATGTGCGATGGATACGATAGATATGACCAAGCGCTTTATTCATTTTTCAAACAAAAAACAGAATAATTTATTTACGCAGGTCAGTGTATCGAACGGTTCGCAAGGGCCTCGGCTGTAAACGGGAGGCGGGCAGTCATCGCTCTCCGGGGAGCCTCTCGCCGCCCAGCGTCGTGTATCGAAAAATATGGTGAATAATTCCGAAGGGTGATTCGTACCTCTCGGTGGCAAAGGGTGG